CCACCCTGCGCTGCTGGCTCCCAGCACCCCCAGCCTGCTGACCCTCCCCCACCCTGCTCCTCTGCCCTGCACTGCTGGCTCCCAGCACCCCCAGCCTGCTGACCACCAGGGACCCCATCTCCACCCTGCTCCTCTGCCCCACACTGCCTGGCTCCCAGCAGCCCCTGCCTGCTTCCCCCTCCCCCACCCTGCTCCTCTGCCCTGCGCTGCTGGCTCCAGGGACCCCATCTCCACCCTGCTCCTCTGCCCCACACTGCCTGGCTCCCAGCAGCCCCTGCCTGCTTCCCCCTCCCCCACCCTGCTCCTCTGCCCTCCCTGCCTCCTTAACCCTTCCCTCCCAGTGCCAGTGCCCGGCCCTGCCTCCTTAACCCTTCCCTCCCTGCTCCTGCAGCTGCACCCTCTCCTTCTGCAGAGCCAGCAGCTCCCGCTCCAGCCTCTCCCGGCTCCGCTCCACATCCTGCAGGGAGCGCTCCAGCCCCTGCCTCTCCGTGTCCAGCTCCAGCTTCTCCTGCTCCAGACGGACCAGCTCGTCGCGGATCGAGGCCTTTTCCTGCTCCACCTCCTGCTTCTGCCCCAGCAGGGCCACCTTCTCCTCCTCCAGCTGCCAGGGTCAGGAGAGACTATCAGACCATCACTGGCCTCGGAAACACAGCTCCCACCCCCGGTATTTGGGCCCCTCCCTGTCCACGCCCGGCCCCTCTCCTTCTCCAGGGGCCTCGCCCCTCGGTCCAGGACCCCTGAACCAGGCCAACCCTCCCTTGGTCTAGGACAGACGGGACTAGGGGGCTTCTCCTCCACTGAGGCTACGTCTCCACTACGAGTTTTCTCGGCCAAAAATATGCTAATGAGGGACTCATTTGCATGAGTCGCACTCTCATTTGCATATTTGCTGCCAATCCGTTTTTATGCCGGGGGGGGGAGGGGGGTTTGCCCACAAACAAGCAGCGTGGACGTTTTCTTTCTGCGCAAAACCCCCTTTTCCCACAAGATCCTTATGCCCCCAAAAAGGGGGGTTACCGATCTTGCGGGAACAGGGGTTTTTGCACAAAAAGAAAAGGTCCACGCTGCTTGTTTGTGCGCAAAAACCCCCGGCGCAAAAACCGAGCGGCAGAAAATATGCAAATGAGATCACGACTCATGCAAATAAGTCCCTCATTAGCATATTTTTGGCCGAGAAAACTCGTAGTGTAGACGTAGCCTGAGGCTCCCCTGGGAGAGCAGAGATTCAGACCGATGCTCTTTTCCCCCCGGCTGCCTGCCGAGGTCGGGGTCCCCCAGCAGGAGGCTCCCTGGGGTGCTCCACCCCACCCCCAGCAGCACCGACCTGGCTGATGATCCTGTTGAGCTCGATTTTATCCTGGGCCAGCCCCTCGTTCAGGGAGCTCATCTTGGACAGCGAATCGCGCAGCGAGGCCTCCTCCGCCTTCAGCTTGTTAGCGGCCAACTCCAGCTCGGCCCGGCTCTCCTACGGCAGCACAGCGCCCAGGATTCCCCGCCGGGACCGAGAGGGAGGAGAGGATGCAGACGGGGGTCTGAATCCGACAAGCCCAGCGGAGGGCAAGGACCCTCTCCCAGCCCCTGGGCAGCCTCCCCCATGGCCCAATGCCGCAAACTGGCTGCAAACTGGGCAAACTGGCTGTGCCCTCCAATGGTTAGGGCAGGTCATGGCATCCTGGGGTCTATTCTATCTGGAGGGTTGCGCCCGGTTCTGGCCCCCCACTACAGAAAGGACGTGGACGCATTGGAGAGGGTCCAGCGGAGGGCAACCAAAATGAGGAGGGGGCTGGAGCACATAAGAGGCTGAGGGATTTGGGCTTATTTAGTCTGCAGAAGAGAAGAGCGAGGGGGGATTTGAGAGCAGCCTTCAACTACCTGAAGGGGGGTTCCAAAGAGGACGGAGAGAGGCTGTTCTCAGTGGTGACGGGTGGCAGAACAAGGAGCAATGGTCTCAAGTTGCAGTGGGGAAGGTCTAGGTTGGATATTAGGAAAAACTCTTTGAAGCCCTGGGCTGGGTTCCCTAGGGAGAGGGTGGAATCTCCATCCCTAGAGGTTTTTAAGTCCCAGCTTGACACAGCCCTGGCTGGGTTGATTGAGTTGGGATTGGTCCTGCCTTGGGCAGGGGGCTGGACTTGATGACTCCTGAGGTCTCTTCCAGCTCTGGGATTCTATGATTCTACGATCCCAGCTGTGATCCTGACTAGCTCTGTGACCTCAGGCAAGTTCCTTTCACCCCTTTGCATCTCCAAGGGCCTCCAAGCACTGTCTAAATCAAGGGCACAGCACCTGCGAAGCCAGGGGGTAACCTTCACCCCCTCTGACAGAAGCAGCAATAGTCAGTAGCCTGCACAAGAGCCTGCAGCAAATCCGGTTTGAAGTAATTATTTGAATTTCCACCGTCCCGAGGAGCCCCGTAGCTTGCACCTCATTGTGCTAGGCGCTGTACAAACCCAGAACAAGACGGCCCCTGCCCAAATTGCTGGCAGTCTTAGTACCAGGCAAGACAGAACAGGTGGCTACAGACAGACAGAGGAGTATCATGAAACAATGGTAGTCAGCATGATACACAACAGGATGCAGAAATCCTGCTTCCTGGTCTTGTGTTGTAACCACTAGGCAGCATTCCCCCCGCAATGGGAACAGCATCTGCTCATCAGATCGGGCAGTTGTGAAGCTCTGTGTGTTTGCAGGTCTTGCTGCTCTCGATTCGAAGGAGGTGTGCACCCCAGAATTGGACCAAGCTGATTAGAGCATTCCACCGCCATGAATTAATAAAACAGAACACCCTCTCGTTAAGATTTAATTGGACCATGCGGGGCTTCTGGAGGAACGCTCAAATGCTAGCGGCATGCTAACCGTTTCTGCTAATCGCAATGGAAGGAGGGGAGAACAAGAGTCAATAATCTGCGACCGAAGGAAAAGAAATAGCTGGGAACCCTGAATCGGGGCCTCATTGGTGTAGATTCTATAGAAGCTTCTGATCTGAGACCTGTTTGTGGAGATGTAGTTAAGTAAAGTCAGGAGAGGCGATGCCCCAGTCGGGGTCCCTGGTTTGTAAAAGTTTGTTATAAAAAGACTAGATAATAGAGCACACTGCGGAGTGTTCTCTGAAACTATCCAGAGAGGTTTTCTCCATACAACTTACTCCCAGGTGGGGAAGTGACCGGCCATCCCTGCTGGAAATGACTCAAAAGCATCTCCGATTCTAGGCAATTGTTTGGGACGCTCTCACTCTATCGCTTGGGTCTGCGTGTGCTTCAATCTAGGGCCGTGCCGTTTCAGATCAGAGCTTGCTGACTTGCATTAATCTTTTGACCGACAGAACGGCCACGTTCCCATGGACTTATTCCTGACTCCATGTGACGATGCGTCAGGGTTCCTCCGATCCTGCAGCCCCGTAGCAGCAAGAACAGACTCCGCCAGGCAGTAGAATAGAGGGGGTTTATTGCTTCTCCCGGATACAGCACAGCCTAGACGTGACGTGGCTACAGGAGTCTGGACCAGGATGCCTCAGCCCCCTTGAGATGGGGTCCCTGGGCCCCTAGATTCCAGCCCCCTCTTTAGACTGGTTCTTTCATGATTCCAGCCCCAGACTGCCCCATCCCCCAACACTCACTTCCTAGTTCCCTCGCTGCCCTCAACCAGCCCGACCGGTTGGGTCTTAGGCAGCCCACCTGCTGGGCACCCACACCCCACAGCCCAAGCACAGTGACCAGCAAGGTACTGACACTATATCACACTCCACCTGGAGGGACAGTTGAGTTCTGAAAACCCTGAGTAACAGCTTAAGAGGAGAGGGGCTAGAAGGGGGAGAATCCTTAGTCGAGATCTCCTGGGGGAGCTGCCCTGTAAACAGATCGGTAGATGGGAAGAGGAAAAGCGAACGCTGCGCCCGTCTCGCCCGTCCCAGCCAGGCCACATGGCTCCTGAGCCCCACTGGAGGACCTGTCCCTGCCCCTCCGCAAGCCCCTAGTGCCGCTCATGGTGCAAAGACCCACCTTGCCAAGAGCCTCTGCCATCTCCACCTTCTCATTCTCAGACACCTCCTTCTCCAGCGTGGCTTTGTGCAGGGCCTCCTTCACGAGGATCAGCTCCTTTTTCAAACTGGATTTCTTCAGTTCCAGCTGCTCCTGCTGTTTGTGGCTGCAGGACACAAAGAGGCATCACACACAACCCCATCCATCAGGGGATCTATAACCCCCCACCTCCCTGCAGGAGCCAGCTCGGTCACTGGCGAGCCATGCAGGGAGCACACCAGAGGGACGTTGAATAGCTTTGTGGAGCGAATCGCCCCATGGGTGGGACTCTGCAGGCTGAGTGACACGCAAAGTCAAACGAGATGATCTGCTCTTGGAATCTATGTAGGGCGTACTTTGTGCTGGGGTCTGCTGGGGTGAGCCCAGCATCTCTGGGCCCGGCAGCTCGGAGCCCAGCACCCCTGGGCCTGGCAGGTCAGAGCCCGGCACCTCTGGGCCTGGCAGGTTGAAGCCCGGCACCTCCGGGCCCGGCAGGTCAGAGCCCGGCACCTCTGGGCCTGGCAGGTTGAAGCCCGGCACCTCCGGGCCCGGCAGGTCAGAGCCCGGCACCTCTGGGCCTGGCAGGTTGAAGCCCGGCACCTCCGGGCCCGGCAGGTCAGAGCCCGGCACCTCTGGGCCTGGCAGGTTGAAGCCCGGCACCTCCGGGCCCGGCAGGTCAGAGCCCGGCACCTCTGGGCCTGGCAGGTTGAAGCCCGGCACCTCCGGGCCCGGCAGGTCAGAGCCCGGCACCTCTGGGCCTGGCAGGTTGAAGCCCGGCACCTCCGGGCCCGGCAGGTCCGGCACCTCACAAAATTAAGCTGTAGCCATGCTGATCCCAGCACACGAGAAAGACAAGGTGGGCGAGGTCATATCTTTTATTGGACCAACTTCTGTCCCTGAGACAAGCTTGGGAGCATCTGCAGAGATCTTCACTGCGTATGCTCGACAATCCGTCCTGCCTTGTGATCAGCAGTGACACCCTGCGCACCTTCCCCAGGCATGAAGAAGAGCTCCGTTGGCTTGAGAGCTTGTCTCGTTCACCATCAGAAACTGGCCCAATGAAAGATATTACCTCGCCCGCCGTGTCTCTCTCTCGGGCTATGTCTACACTGCGTGTTTTTTTCCGGCAGAACAGATGCAAATGGAGTGCTCATTTGCATATCTCGTGCTCTCATTTGCATATCCTCTTCCGAACCTTTTAGTTGAAAAGACGGGGCCAGTTGTCAGGAAAAAAACCCTTTTGCGCAAGATCCTTTATGCCTCAAAAAAGGAGGTTTACAGGCTCTTGCGCAAAAGGGTTTTTTTCCCGACAAATGGCCCTGTCTACACGGGGCATTTTTTTGCAAAAACCTCTTCCGCAAAAAGGATCGGAAGTGGATATGCAAATGAGAGTGCAAGATATGCAAATGAGTGCCTCAAGATTTGCATATCTTCTGCCGGAAAAAAATCACGCGGCGTAGCCAGAGTGATGAGAAGTGAGCAGACGGCAGGACACGCTGGGCCCCCGGTTGGGAGTGGGGCGCTGGGCGTGGACACCGGCAGGGCTTGCCGTGTGCGCTGAGAGAAGGGCTGGCACATACGAGCACCAGGCGAGGGGGCCGGTCGCTGGAGGAGGGCGCACGAGGGGCCCATCTGAGGTTTGGGCTTTGCTCCGTGCCTACCCTCTCCCCACTCTCCCCGCACCCACCCGCGCTCGATCTCCTTCTGCGCCCGCTCCGTGTCCTTGGCCATGTCCTCCTTCTCGTCCTCCAGGTGGTCCCGCTGCCGCTGCAGGTCGCTGTTGGCCAGCTGCAGCCTCTCGCTCTCCTGCCGTAGGGTCTCCACGTGCTGCTGCAGGGCCTGCAGGCTCCGCTCCAGGTTGCTCTTCTCACTGACAGACAGGCCCAGACGGACAGATTTTGGGGGGACTGAGAACCCTTTTAAAAACACAAACTCCACCCCCTTCCCTCTTCGCGGGCGCGCCGGCTGCAGGCGCCTGAGACAGACTCCGCCACACGCTGGAGCCCGGGGGTAGGGTAGGGGGAGCTCCCATTTACGTACCTGCCCAGCAGGTCGGCCGAGGCCCGGAAGCGGCTGGCCTCCCGCACGGCGTCGTCCCTGGCCCGCAAGGAGCGGTCGACGTTGTCCTTCAGCTGCAGGATCGTCTGCTCCAGGGAGCGCCGCTCGGCATCGCTCTCCGACAGCTGCTTCCTCAGCGAGCTCACCAGCTCCTGGGTGGCTTCGTACTTGCCTCGGACGTCCTAGAAACGCCAGCCAGTCAGCTCCCTCTGCGGCGCCCCCCATGCTGGCCACCCCCGGGGCACCCTGCCACGGTCTAGCCACGGTCCCCCCACCTCCTGCATGTCCCTACCCTCTGGACAACCATCTCCACAGAACCCTACACCCTGCCAGGCACGAATCCCCTAGGGCTTCCCGGCCCTCCGTCTGCCCCTTCAGGCTCCTCTAACAGCAGCCCTGGTCCCTTCCCGCTCCCCGAGTGGGCCCCCCAGAAATGCAGCCTCAGCAACACAGCCATGGACAGTGCTGGTGGCTCAGCCCCCTCATTCCATGCAGTCTCACAGGGCTGGGGAGCCGGTCTGGTTTGGGAAGCCCTATTGAGGGCTGGGAGGTGGCCATGAAACTAGATGGGTTTATGAAGGGGATGGTTTGATGAGATAACATGATCTTGGTAACTAATTGACCATTCATTATCAGTGGGAAATAGGTCAATGGAGGGATGATAGGAGTTACTATAGAGAACTTTCTGGGTGTCTGGCTGGTGAGTCTTGCCCACATGCTCGGGGTTTAGCTGATCGCCATATTTGGGGTCGGGAAGGAATTTTCCCCCAGGGTAGATTGGCAGAGGCCCTGGAGGTTTTTCGCCTTCCTCTGTAGCATGGGGCACAGATCACAGCTGGAGGATTCTCTGCATCTTGGGGCCTTCAAAGTATTTGAAGGCTTCAATATCTGAGATATAGGTGAGAGGATTATTCTAGGAGGGGTGAGTGAGATTCTGTGGCCTGCACTGTGCAGGGGGTCGGACTAGATGATCATAATGGTCCCTTCTGACCTTAAAGTCTATGAGTCTATGAAGGACCCATGGCCATGTGCTCTGGGAGAGACCACCTCCCTCTCCTGCAGCTGCAGCTGCCTCTTCTGCAAGGCGGAGTGCACCATGGCCAGCGTGGAGTCGGAAAAGGCTGGCGAGAGGCTGCGCCGGGGGGAGGAGCTGCGCCGGGGGGAGGTGCGCCGGAGGGGGGACGGCGTGCGGAGGCTGGAGGAGAGGCCCCGCAGGCTGAAGCCCGTAACGTCGCTCTCCGACACCTCCATCATGCGCTCCGTGCCCGTGAGGTGGATGGCGCTGTCGGCGTCGGAGAGGACCGCCTGCGGAGGAGAGACCACAGCGCGCCGCTGGGTACAGGCAGGAGAATGCCAAAGTCATGTCCCTGCGCCCAGCGTCCCAGCCACAGTGCGGGGCACGGCCCCTGACGCGGCCAGCACTCGAAGCTCGACGGGAGCAGGCCCCGTTTTCCCAACAAACGAGTTGTTTCATTCACAGCTTTCGATGCCCGGAGGCGGGGTGAATCGAGTAGCAGATTGAGTTAGAAAAAAACGTTACAAAAGCCAGAGCGTTTCATTCCGAACACAGTGAAAAGTTGGACACGGACCCTTTCGTTTCCGCTTCCAGCTTTTGCCAGGTTTCAAAGGTGGGAAACTCCTCCCACCCCAAAATGAATGTGAAAAACATCAGAAAGAGAAACCACTCTGGGAACACTCAGACCTTTTTTTTTTTTTTGCCCCAGCTCTTTGTGGGAAGACCTTTCTGTTTGGTTTGAATCGAACAGGATTTTTCTCCACCTTTTTCAGTTCAGCCCCCACCCTGCAGCTGATCCGTTCGCTGCCCTGCCCATCCACTGGGTGCCTCTCCCAGGTCGGATTGGCAGGGGGTTGGGAGGGGACGCCGGCCGCTTGCCTGGATCATGAGGGTATTTCACTGGATTGATTTCCTGCCATTGCAGGAGCCTCGGGTACTGGTGCACCTGAGTCTCTCCTGTTCTCTGTCTGGGGCATGTAATGGGCTAGTCTCCTGTGCACTGTAAAACTGCTCCAGTTTCAGTGCCTGGGTTCAGTGTGCGGGTGCTGGCGGCCTGTGCTACACGGGAGATCGGGGTAGACGATCCGATGGTTCTTTCTGGCTGTACATTCTGTGACACTGTGACTGTCACTGCTCACTGCTCGCAGACCCCAGGGGTGCCCTGCCTTGCTCACGGGACCCGCCCCCCCGTACCTGAGCCAGGTCTCGCAGCGTCTGCTGGAGCATCTCCAACTCCGTCCGCAAGGCCTCGATCTCCTCCGCCTCCAGCACCGCCTGCTCCTGCGCTCGTGTGGCCTCCTGCAACCAGAGACCCGGCGTCAGCAGGGAGTGCTCGGTCTGGCCCACAGGTCCCTCCTGCCCCCAGCGGGGCCGAGAAAGCCCAACGCTGGGCTGCGATCAGCCCGATCCCACGGGCACCCACTGACGGAGCCAGAGCCGGCGGCCCAGCCGCTGCATCGTGGGTTCAGCGGATCTCGGCACCTCCGGGAACCAGCGACGCCACAGAAGCCGCCGAGTCCCTCACCAGATTTTCCAGCTTCTGGGTCAGCGTCTCAATGGTCTTCTCCTTCTCCGAGTTCTGGGCTTTCAGGAGGTCCAGGGTCGCCGTCATCTCAGCAATTCTGGAGCAAGGCAGGGACGGGGGGCGGGTCAGGGCGAGCAGAGCAGCAGCAGAAGACACACGCTCTATAGCATAGGGCCAGAACCCAATGGACACGGGCCGGCCAAGCATTCGGAGGCCCCTGGGGCCCCATCCAGGCTAGAGAGCAACAGCACCCTGGGAAACCCCCCAGCCCACAATCCCGGCCCAGACGTTCCCTCCCCTCTCCCACTTCAAGCAAGCCCTGTCCTGCTAACGTCCTAAAAATCCCTGCCCCTCCCAGATTCCCCAGCTGAGCTCTAGTAAGAGACCAGGCCTGGGGACTCCAAAGAAGGGCTTTGCAGGAGCTAGCCCGCCACGTGTCTCCGGCAGCGCTGTGCAGCCCGCTGTTAAATCGCGGCGGGGTGGAATTATTGGCCTCCGTTATTAACCCATCGGGAGGCTTTTCCTAGGTCACTAACCAATTGGCGGGGGGAAATAGGGACACCGGGTCAGGAGAACCGAGAGCCCCTCAAAGGTCAATGAGCCAGGGGAGTCCCAGGGCTGGGGGCTGAGCATCGCGGCTCCACAGGGCTCCGGCGGCAGGGCGGGCGGGAGGTTAGGGCTCCCGGCAGTTCTAACACGGACACACGGACTCCCCTGGCAGAGGCTGGGGCCCTGGCCCCTCCTTCCCTGTGTGACGGCGCGTTGGGGGTCCCCCGTCTCCTACACCCCGAAATGGCACAAACAGACTGCACCAGCCGGTGGACTAGAGGAAGTTTATTGCCTCTCCAGGATACAGCAGAGCACAGATGGAATCTGGTCACAGAGCTGGGCTAGGATGCCTCAGGCCCCCTTGAGATGGGGGAGACTGGGCCCCTAAACTCCAGCCCCTTTCCCTAGGCTCTCCTCCATGCTCCCAGACAGCAACTAACTAACCCTCTTCCAGCCCTGCCCCCCAGCCAGGGCAGCATCCACCTTCCTTTGTTCCTCTCCATGGGGGGTGTCTGGCCATACCGGTTGAGAGGTCCCTTTGCATAGTGACTCATCCTGTTTTGCTGGGTCGTGGTACCCACGGCAGCCAGTGGGGGTTACCCCAGAGCCAGCAGCATAGAAGCCACCCAGGTACCCCCACTACATCACACCCTGTCAGCGGGATACGCTTCACCCATAGCCCCGTCCGCCAGGCCCCACGCTCCCGGATCTCCCCTGGGGCCACCACAGCCCGGCGAGTCCCAGGGTTCAGGGCCCGGGACGCCGGCCTTGGTCTGGGGTCCGTACCTGGTGCCGAGCTCTGCTTTCTCCAGGTCACACCTGACCTGCAGCTGGATCATGTCGCGCACCTTGTCTTTCAGCTGCTCCTCCAGCTGGGCCAGCAGCAGGGCCTGCTTCTCCAGGGCCGCGCCGGCGCTGCTCTCCGACAGACGCAGGTTGCTGCTCAGGTTGAGGCAGGAGGCGTGGATGGTGCGGCTGCACCGGCTCAGCTCATTGTTCAGCTCCGACAGGTCCCTGCTCCGGGGACACAGAGAGGGGCGTTTCCGGGGGCCCTGGCCTCTCCAGGAGCCCCCTGCCCTGTCATCTGCAGGGCTCCCGCCCAGGTGGCCTGACGGGGTCTGAGCCCAGCAGAGCCTGAGCGTTGAGAACCTGCGCTCCCCCGCGGGGAGACGGTCACTCCAGGCCCCAGGCAGGCCCGGCAGAAAGGAGGCCAGGCAGCCGCACACGGCTCCAGGGCTGCGAACGGGTTTGTCTGGGAGACTCTTCCGTTCTCTGCGCTCTGGGTGTTCTCCCAGGGATCCTGCAGGCTCCAGGCAGCTCAGGCAGCTTTCCCAGGCCCAGCTCCTCGGACGGTTAGAGGAGCCCAGAAGCCACCAGCCCCACGCACGTCCCCCACCCCACC